CGTCCCGCCCGCGGCCCGGCGGCTGCTGCAGGTGAAGCCCGAGCAGGTGTTGCTGCTGCCACCGGGGACACCACTGCCTCAGGCCCGGGACGAGGGCGCCGCCGCCTCGCCCGCGCCTGCGCGACTGCTGCAACTGAGGCCCGAACTCCTGCTGCTGCCGCCTCCGCCGGTTTCCGAGAGCGCCCCCTGCAGGCCCGACTTGCACCAGGTGCAGCCCCGGCCGCTGCACGTCAAGGCCGAGAAGCAGGAACCTGGGCCTGGGTTGGACCCATCCGTGGGAACAAGGAGGGCCGTCGAGGCGGGCCCTAGAGCGTCCAGGCCGGCCAAGGTGGAAGGCCCCGGGCTGGTCCTAGACAGCCGCCGAGGGGACGAGAAGAAGGGCAAGCTGGAAGCGGAGGAGGTCATGAGAGACGCAGTGAAAGGCGGGGAAGGCAAAAGCCCGACGGTCATCCACGAAGGCGTCATCAAAACTGAGGAGCCGGAGAGGCTTCGCGAAGACTTCGGCACGGAGCTCGCGGCCAATGGCCTGGTCCATGGCAGCAAGGAGGTCATCCTGGCCCAGCCACCAAGCACTTTTGGGCAGCACCAGCAGGACCTCAGGATCCCTTTGACTCTCCACACAGTTCCCCCAGGGGCCCGTATCCAGTTTCAGGGCCCTCCACCTTCAGAGTTGATACGATTGGCCAAGGTTCCCTTGACACCAGTGCCTATTAAGATGCAATCCTTATTGGAGCCTTCTGTAAAAATTGAAACCAAAGATGTCCCGCTCACCGTGCTTCCCTCAGATGCAGGTATTAGACAGCAGGGGAATCTGGTTATTAAAACCTCGCCTGTTACCCTATAGATGACTTGGCAGCAGTTCAGAAGCCTAAACTAGAACAATAAAATTATGGAACTGATTCTTTCCAGGGCAGAGTCTGCGCAGGTATCATATGCACATTCACCAGTAAAATACACCGACACTCTCAAGATTTCCAAACATTAAAAAGTATTAAGGGCCCAGTAACGATGAGATTTATATATGACATTTTTATATACAAAAAGAAATATTTTTGCTCACGGTAGCCTCAGTTTTTGTTCTAGAAATAACAACATTAAAAATCTTGTATTGGGACCAGGAGATGGTGCAATGGTTATGTCGTTGGACTCCCACTTCCATGACTACAGTTTGAGTCCTGGACCTGGGCTTAAAACTCACTGCTGGCTGCTGGGCATGTGTGCCTGCCTGCTGAAGGTCTCGAGAGGAGAAAGGATAAGGAATTGAGGCGGGACCATACCCCCTGGGGGGTGATCTTGCTTTCTGTTTCTGTCTAGCCAGCACTCACACCCTATAGCAAAAATCTTTTTAAAAAATACCGTATTATAGTAATTCAATACTTCTTTGAGCGTCAAGGGATAGAAAAAAACAATGGCATTTAATGAAAAAGTTAAACAGGAAAGTAGGTTTATACTGATTATACTGGTTATTTTTTTTCTTAAAGTTTTCTTTGTTTTTTTTTTTTTTTTTTTTTTTTTTTTTTACTATAAGGTGAGTGTGCTAACCAGAAAGAGAGACACCTCACCCCCCCACCCCCCCTAGGAGTGTATAGACACATCAAAATCCCTTATCCTCTTGGGATTTGGGGGCACACATGCAAATACTCCTGGCATAAGTTTCACATGCTCCTGGCATGTGTTTGAAGTTGCCAGGTCCGGAATTTGAACTGTGGTTGGTCATGTGGGTGGGAGTCCAGCACTTTAACCACCATACCACCTGCTGGCCCTCTATAGTGGTTATTTTTTAAAATGTACAGTAAATACTTTTCTAGGAGAAAACAATACGTGATTATATGTTAACACTTCAGTATATATTCCAAAAGCTAAGCATTTAACAGAAGTATTGAAAATGAAAACAGTGTAGAATAAGCTGGAAACATTTTAAGAAGTGACTATATTATACACCAGAAACAGCTGCAAGAAGAGATTTTCTTTTTATCTAGTATGTTCAAATATATAGTTACAAATTTTCATTTTAAAATTTCATTCAGACGGAACACCAAACACTGTACCAGTGGAAGTCTTAGAAAAAGTCATATTAATCATCCATTTGTATTTCCATTAACTTTCTTTTTTAATTTTCCTTAGTGATTATTTTTCCCTTTTAAAAATTTTATCTGTCACTTTAGACTTTGATTTTTAGTTTTGAAAGGGAAAGCTTTCTTTGTACTAGATCCTTTGCATTAAAAAAATTAATATAGTGAGTAACCCTAAAATAAAGAGAAATAGCATAAGAAGTTTACAATTATTTTTTAACAAACTATGTAAGAGATGTGAATTTATTTTTTATTAAAATTTTTTGCGTAAGTTTTTGCTATAAGGCATGTGCACTCACCAGAGAGAGAGAGAGAGAGAGAGAGGCAGAGAGACAGTGAGAGGGAAAGTGAGAAATTGGACATGCCACAATCTCTTTGATCAGGATTTTGGGTATGTATGCACACATGCCAGGCTTGATTTTCAAGCTGTAGAGTCTGGAATCTGAACCACCGTCAACTATGTGGGAACCCAGCATCCTAACCACCATGCCACCTGCTGGCCTCAGCAGATGTGAATTTAGCCAGCTTCCTTTTTTGTTATTGCAGCTGACTCAGTGAATCTCAAATGTCACTTTTATTATTTTTCTCCCAGGACATAGGACAAGTGTTGATGACTCAGACTGACAAGCTTCCTCTTCATAGTGAAATATAACCAATATAATAATATAGTATTATAAATATTTTTGCTTGAAAAAACACTATAGCAGTATATAAATGAGTTCTTTTAAACATTTAAGGAACAGCTGCCTAATGCTGGGGCTGTAGTCATAAATAAGTTATAGTTTCTGCTCTCCAATAATAGATTATTTTTAATGAGAAACAAAAATTGTTGTTAGAGGTATTAATAAAGCTCAAAGATGTAATAAGCCATCAATTTACTATCTTTAATATTGTTGTTTCCATAATATCTTCAACAATATTATTCTTTCTGAAGAAAAGGAAAGTCATTCTAACCTATAGTTTAGAGTGCTGAGTTCAGACGTTATAAGAAATTTTGGAATATTGACCGTTTTTTTGTTTTATTAAAGTGTGTATTTTACCCAGACATTTAAAAAATAAGTACAGTTGGAGGCATACTTCACTTTAATATTTTATGTGTGTGTACAGCACATTAATTTAGTCTCTTAATTTTTGTCATGTAGGAATACCAGATACTCCCTTCAGTAAGGACAGAAATGGCCATGTGAAGCGACCCATGAATGCGTTTATGGTTTGGGCAAGGATCCACCGGCCAGCACTAGCCAAAGCTAACCCGGCAGCCAACAATGCAGAAATCAGTGTCCAGCTCGGACTAGAGTGGAACAAACTTAGTGAAGAACAAAAGAAACCTTATTATGATGAAGCACAAAAGATTAAAGAAAAACACAGAGAGGAATTTCCTGGTAATCAAATAAAGCCTCTTTCCAATTTAAATTAATTTCGATAAAGACTAGGTTAGGTCAAGATAAAGACAAAACTACATAGTAGTTTTGTCAGATCTGATATGTACCAGAAAGAGAATAATGGCTAATATTATAGTAGTGATTAAATCAATACTGGTATAAGTCTCCTTAAATAGAACCAAGTAGGTATATATTTCCTAGTCTCATGAATAATAGAAATCAGGGGACATACAGTTTTACTGTGGTTTCAATTGAATGAAGACACAGATGTAGATTTAATAGAGGTAAATCTCTACAGAGTTCTGGGCTATAATTTTGCCAATATCACATACTAGAAGTGTTAAAAATCCTAGCAGCAGAAAAAATATGCAGTATACTTTTGAAGATAATGAAAGTGCAGACGTTAACACCATATTCTTCTTGAATATTGCATGGTTATCAAAACATACTCCTGCATTCTGACTGGTAGATTTATTCCATCATGGTATAGTTTGAAAATGAGCCTGTTTCCTCCCCAGCAGTGAGGACATTGAGATTAAGCATGGGAAAATAAACACTGTATGGTCATCCTGACTGTATATGATGATAAAGGAATGATTTTTTTCTGAAATATGAGCAGATAGTTCCTACTAGGAAGATCAAAGGCAGCAACTACAGGGAATCAGTGATTCATCTGATTATACAGTGGCTATAAGTAACTCCACTCTTCTGACTTTGGAAGAACTTTTGAGCTGTTTCTGAACTTGGTGATTGTTGAGTCTAGAAGAATAACTTTTCCTGAACTAGCGACTAGTCATTAGTGGCCATTGCATTGTAAAATACAGACAATGGTATCTTAAAGAAAGTGAACCAGGAGGAGATGAGTAAGTCTTATTCACATTGTTTTACAGGTAGAGGGAAGCCTTTGGGATTCAAGGTCAGTAGCTTTGATGATTTTACTAGATTCAATTTGTGACATTGGATATATTATAACACATTTGACCTACTTCTTTTCAGGGTTACAACATTGGCTGCTAATTGGGAGGTATATAGAAAAAAATGTATGTTAAAATACACAGTAGGGAAGTCATTAATAGAAATAGAATCATAGAGTTGGAAAAGACATTTTAGATCCTATTTTTTTTAAAACTTTGAAGTGCTTTCCATTTTTAACATGAAAAGAACTACTTGAAGGCTAAGTAGGGTCTCTACATGTGTATTAAAAATAGTTATCTTCTTCTGTAGGTTGGGTTTATCAGCCTCGACCAGGGAAACGAAAACGCTTCCCTCTAAGTGTTTCCAGTGTATTTTCTGGTACCACACAGAATATCATCTCTACAAATCCTACAACAATTTATCCTTATCGCTCACCTACTTACTCTGTGGTAATTCCCAGCCTACAAAACACCATCACTCATCCAGTTGGTGAGTTGGTTTTACTATAGATTACTATTTTCTTAATAGCTGCCTTAAAATTTTACCTCAATTGAAATTTTGTTTCTCTTAGACTTTAGAATTTATAACAAAATTAAGGGGAAAAAAAATAAAGAAAAGGGCCAACTCCCTAGTACAGTGGTTAAAGGAGCCAGATCTCCCATAGTCAACCTTGGTTTGAATTCTGGTTGCTGTTTTGGAAAACATACCAGGAGCATGTGCTCGCATGCCCAAAATCCTGACGAAAAAGAATGGAGGAAAAGGATTGTAGGATTGGGGTGCTCTTCTTCTTCCTCCTCCTCCTTCTCCTCCTCTTCCTTCTCCTCCTCTTTCTCTTCTTCTTTCTCTC